CATAAGGCCTATCTGGAAGGGGATGTCTCATGTGCCATGTAAGACATCATTGGTTTTTCCTCGAATTCCCTCCATAGTGTCCCCGACTGAAGCTACAAACTGCAAGAAATACGGACGGACCAACGAGAGGCAAGCCGCTTCCCAGCTGCGAAAACTTCTGTCTAATCCTTACCTGGCTCCGAGACTTTCTTTCCAAACCCTGCCAGTCTTTTTGAACAACTGCGCTGGCAGAAGTCAGAACTCTGATTGGCCGACGCCCATACAAGCTTTCGTGCATGCCTCAGAGTCAAGCACACTCAAGATGCAACTTTGCTGATAACGGGAGCAGACTTACAGGTGGGACCTTCTTTGACCAGCACGGGTGTCTTATGCAAACCTGGCTGCACCCACCGCCGCATTGAAGGTGGCAACATTCATTTCGAATCCTGCGCCCTGCGGCTGTGGGCAAATCTACGGTACTGTATGATTTGATGACCAAGGAGCCTTGCAGGCCACCTAAATTGACTGGATTCTTGGCCTTTGCGAACGAATGTGCGATGACTGATTATGTAGCCTCAGGTCGCCTCGGGCTAAAACGCGCAACAAAGGCAAGATGCGCAACTTTCGCAAAAGCTTGAAAGCCTTGTGCTCCACAGTTCCACTCCAACATCCTGCAAGAACTTTCATGGCCTCGAGCTCCCATAGTAGCCAATGCGCGGCCGCCCACTGACCGACTTTCTCCCGTGCAGATATGGCGGAGCCTTTCAGGGATTTGAATAAGGGTGGGCCAGGGCACTCAACACCAAAGCGACAAGAAGTTTTGCCGAAGAGCGGAAAGACACCACACTGGCTTCGACGTGCTGCCAGCGCATGCAACCCAGGAGTGATGAGGTCATTCGCCACTGGCCTGCAAGACAACGTCGATCATGACTTGACTTGTCGATGCTATCTTGACAACTTCAAAAACTGAAGATGGTCTTCCCGTGTCATTCATGGTCCTGATATCAGCAGAAGAAGGGCCACAAACAGAATGAGCTGCCATGAACACCATTTCGAGTATAGCCGGCCTCTCTCTGATGCACTCAGAATCCCGTTGCATGCCACTGTCGTGGCTGCTAGCTGCAAGCTTCTGCCCTCATCAAGGAGCGAGAGAGCAACTCGCCAACGGCCTGCCAGAGCTTGGTTGCCAGGGTTCTGCTCGAGTTCATGGACAAGGTCAGCTACTATTGCAGAAAGTCTGGCGCCTTTACCCTTGCAAGCGTTGATAGCGGCATTGTACGTGATCGCCTTCTTGCATACCGTTCGCAGCACAAAATCTGCTGAGGTGAATGAAACAAGGGGACATGCTCCTCAGAACCTGCTCTCACATCTCTCGCCAAGCTTCGCTGGGCTCAATCGCCTTGACTCGCAGCTCCCTCAACAGCAGCGTGGCCTCGCACGGCAATCGAATGGAGTGCCGTGAAGTTTTCCTGTCGTGACTTTGAGCATTGTAACAGTACCGCAGAGGCTCGCAAAGATTTCGGGTTTCTACTAGGAACTCTGACAGCTGACATCCGGTCGTGCTCAGGACCTATTTCAAGGTGTCCCCCGAGCACCAGGACCTCCTCCCAGCGCTCGCACTTTTCGCAAGCACTGATAGCAGCATTGAAGGAAATCCTCGGATGTCAACCCCAAGACCCTAAACACAATCCTGACCTGCACGAGCATGAGTCGCAGATTTGGGGCAAGGGACACATCAGCCTGGAGCCCGGGAGAGGCCTCCAACTGCCTGAGGAGGCCCAAAGCTTCCTCCCACTTCGCTGCCTTCTCACAGGAGCTGATAGAGGCATTGTAGGCGATCGCATCCACCTTGAAGCGTGTGAGTCTTGCTCAGACTGCGGTGATGACGGAGCTCTTTAGCCAGCTTGCGCCTGGAGATCTTCAGCCTGAATTCCAGACAACAGCGCGAGCGCTCGGCTCCACTCGCCGCCCTTCTCACACGCGCTGATCAATGAGTTGCAGGTGACGACATTCCACCGCAAGCCGTCGCGTTTCAGCATCGCAAACAGCTGCAACGCCCACTGCCAATTCCCGGCTTTGGCACAGGCCCCAATCCTGAGACTGCATGCGCAAAACTAACACAACAGGCAACGTGGCACGGAGCTGCACACGAAGTGTCCAAGCTTGCAGCCTCAGTGTCGCTGTGCTGTAAGTGACGATGTCCGCTTGGAAGCCCTCTGCCGACAGTTCAGCCTGACTTGCGAAGTTCAAGCTCCTGCGTTCGCCGTGTTCGGGTGTCAGGATAGTTGAGTACCAGAGTATTATGCAGCACACTGCCCTTTGGCAACCAGGTGGCCATATATTGGAGAGCGTACTCCCACAACCCCTGACTTTCGCATGCACTGATTGCTGCATTGTATGCGAGAACCTCGGCTGCTCGCTGTCATCGAGAACCCCTATGGCCCGCTTGCTTCTTCGCCTTTCAAACCCGCATTCGCCTCCGAGCCGCGCTGCAAGGGACCGTGCTTTGTCTCATGTCGCGGAAAAGAATCAGCGAGCTTTCCCATTGAGAGCTGCGGGTGCCTTGGACAAAAAACTGCTGGATACGTCGTACAGTAGTATTTGGTGTACGACTCATCTGTCTACAAACGACGACTGTCTTGACTTCTACAGTGCCAACATGTGCCATACAGTCATACAGCTTGAGTGGCCACTGAATTTACGACATCGCAGAACGCCTCTCAGCCGCCTCGATCCACCTCTAGGGCCTTTGTGAACGCCCTCTCCGAGTTTCACTGCCTCTTCTGGATGTGAGTGCACCAATTTGGCGGATCTAGATTGCAGCAATGCCCTGGTTTGGAAAAGTTGGTGCCCTGACGTTTTTATAGATACTGCCAGTACCATGCACTGAAATTGAAAAAAGGGTCCTCTTGTTAAGCGACCGTCAACCTGGGCAAGTGGCTGCCGCTGATGGCCGTTGTCAAGGTGATCGTGTTTGGCAGGAGCTTTCGATTCTTCATTTCCGGCAGCAAGCTCAGTGCTTGTTGCCACTCTTCTCCAGTCCTTGCATCCAAGATTGTGTCACATGTTAACTAGTGCAGTTTGACGATCACCAGCATACGAAAGACATGTAACGATACGAAACCATTCCATGCAGGTCTCGCGCAGGTTTTCAAAAGCGAGTTGAAGGTCACGATGGTAGGTTGCAAAGAAAGCTCCGCCAATTCACTGAACAGCAGCACAGCCTCTTTCCATAAGCCGAACTCAAGCGCCGAGATGAGAGAGTTCTGCGTGACGATATCCGGCTCGAGGCTTCTCGGCTTGAGGCTGGCAGCCAAGGCTACCGCAAGGTCCCAGCGGCCTCCTTTGGCACAGGCACCTTACAAGCAGCTTGACTGGTTAAAGAGGGCTGGCATGGGCTTTCTCACCGAATTCGCCTGGGCGCTGGTGGCTGCATTGTAAGGGATGATGGAGGCCTCCAATCTCTCCAGTTCTAGCTCGTGCAGCAGTGAGAGCGCTACTACCCATGCCTCACCTCAGAGGCTCTTTCGCTCTCTCTCGATAGAAGCGGATCCTAGCTCAAAACTGCACTTTGGCAAGCGCTAGTGGACCCGACTGCAACATGTCGAAGATTCGTTCGAGTAGCCTTTGGCACAGGCACTGATGGCCGCATTGTAGGTGATGGAGTTCCGGACAACTTCCACATCGGCCATCGACAGCAAAAGGGTTATAGCCTCGGCCCACAGGCTAGCAACCTCCAAAGAGCTCAGCGTCGTTGAGAAGGTGATCACATCCGCAAGACGGCCATGCTGTAGCTGATGCAGGAACGACAATGCCAATTCCCACTGCGCTCCGCGGACACAAGCACTGGCTGCTGTGTTGTAGGTCACTAGCGAAGCTTGAAGTTCGTACTCTTCCAGCTCGGGCACCAAAGCCAATGCTCGTTGCCACTGCGACTGCTTCACGCAAGCGTTGATGGCTTTGTTGTACTCCAGCAGGCTGCCACAACGATCCGCAGTCGGGGATGCAGGGCTCTTCCAGTGCTCCGGGGAGCAGACGTTGCTTGCCATTTGGCCTCATCCGAGCCTCGTTCCAGTTGTCAGGAGAAGCCCTGGGGTGCACAAACACAGGCGTCATCTGGGCTTCTGCGTGGCGTGTGTCAACCTGGGGTAGGCTTCGGCTTGGGCCGCACACGCAGCCACTGAAAGGCGGTCTTCATGGCACATGGAATATCCCCGCTCAGCTCTGCATCAACAAATAGAGCTCTCTGATGCCAAAGGGGAGGGTGACTGCAAGCAAAAGCATGAAGCATCGTACGTTTTCACATGCGCACGCCGTGATGAACGAATTTCGAAGGTCTTGAGGCAATGGAGAGTGGATCTCGTGGAACTTTCCTGCTCGGTCTCGAAATGAAAGCAAATGTCTATGCAGCCAGTTTCTGTCGCAGAGTGCTGCATCCTCCTGGAAAGTCACATTGCTAGTGTACAGACCATCTCGGACGGTAGGGTGCCCAATGTAGGCCATGTGACTCCGAATTTGGTGCTTTCGCCCCGTGACCTCGGCTCTGGACCATGCGAACTGCTCACATGAAGCCATCGTGCCTCTTCCTGAAATACCCATACTTGAACGAGGATTGTTCGAAGCACGGAAACAGCAAGGAGGGCTACTGAGCTACTGCAGTATCTCCTGCACCAGGGCACAACAGGCAAATGGAGTGCGCTGTCAGTCGCGGCTCATGTCCGTCATATCCAGTTACAGCCGAGAGCCACAAGTGCTCGAGGAGTGCCCTAAGAATTAACAGCAAGTTACAGCAACGGCAGCTCTGTTTTGGCTGAGCAGCAATCTGGAGAAGAAGGCGAGTCAGTGTGCCAACAGGATGCCACAAGTAGCCTGGGCAACTAGGAGAAGATCGCCACCACATGATGTCGCTGCGGCCCTTGTGACTTCCGATATTTCATGCACGAGCATTCAAGGATTCAGTCATTGAGTTCGCATTCCGACCTCATGCCTGCCATGTGGCCCATGCGCCGAAGCCGAGTTTGGCTCCACTTTCCGCGACCGCCCGAAGTTGTCGGACCTTTTGTGCCGGATTGCACCTGTGTGGGCTCGTGCGCGACAAACACGAAGAGACTGCTGCTTGTTGTTTTCAAGTGCTTGCTTCTACTAGCTGGAAAACTATGAGGAAGGGTGAGAAGTATCTACAAGCACGGATGTCATCGAACCCATCGTTCCAACTGGTATAATGTGGCCCTCACGATGGGCAAGATAGAGAGGACCAACTCTGTTATAGCCGATGCTATCTGAACTGCTAGCAGTTAGCAGCCTTAACAAAGGAAGTCACAGTTCTGTCCCCGCCCCAGCCACCGTGCTTCCGACATTGTTCATGCTGACGGAGTATGGTATAAACTGCACTCTTTACTTCTGCCCGCGGTAGCTCACGCACGGGTAGACTGCCAGCCACAGGAACTGACCTAAAACTGCTCCTCCTGCGATGCCAGTTGTGAACTTCGCAAGACTCGCAAGACCTGGCCTTTGCCGTCACGGTGCTGAGTGACTTCGCTAACCAGCCGTGCACGAGGGAGGTGTACTCACGGCCAAATGTTCCAAGATGGAGCTGAAGCTGCAAGTCATAGAAGGCAGCATAGGACTTTGCCATCATGATCAAGCCTGCGATGCGCAATGGCAGCAAGTCATGTAATCAGTGTCTACATTCTGCTGTCGGCACCAGAGCTAAGAGCAGATCCTGTGCCGAAATACAACACGAGCCACACGACAAACAACCCCTTTCATGTGTATGTATGCGCCGCATGCCATGCCAAAAGGCATGCACGTGTTGGCCGCTTGGCCATTGCCTACTCGCGCTTTTGCCGTGGCCTGTTGTCATCGACATAATATAGTAGCAGGGAACGTCTGAACGTTTCAATTACAACAAGTCTTTTAGGAGAAACCACAGAAACAAAATACTGACGTGACATGACGTGACAATACGTGACATAACCCATCAGACTGGCAAGCACAACTAGAAGATGCAGTGCTGCAAGGCTCATTGCTATATGAAAGGTGCAGTTACCACTCAGAACAGTACAAGTGCAACATAGTACGACCTGACCCAACAACCACATCAGTTGCCATGTTAACACTGATAATCGCTGTCGCGACGACAACGGCGGTCATGACTGTTGTGTCAACACTAGTCGGACTGACACTCGAGGTATGAGGTTACCGTATTCAAAGACGGCCGTATGACAAGGATGTCGCGACTGGTGATCGCTGCCATGAACATACTCAGAATGCTGATTTATTGGGAATTCAGCACTGCCAACCATAACATATACTTCTAAATACTTCTAAACATGTCAGCAATACTGCGTTTGCTACTTGACTCTCCGGCCTGAGCTCGGCACATCCAGGCGATGGAGGAAGCCAGAATTATGACCTAAATGGAAAAATCACCGGGCTTCAATATTGTAGGGATAGCATGTAGAATGTAGGGAACTGTGACCGGGCCTGGGCAATGGCTCTGAAACTTCCAACACTGTGGGGCCGTGTGCAGCGGTTTCAGTTTGTGAAGCAGGCACCAAAGTAAATCTGTCCAGCGGCTGTCATCGTCCAGGATTCGGAGACGGCCTTGTGCAACATGGCTTTGAATCGGAATTTGAGGGACATCCCAGACCAAGGATGAAGCAACCAGGAAAACGGGCACTTCAAACAGCATGAGCATCCAAATTCGCTTGAGCGAGCCTCTAAGAACATAATCCTGCTTGCCTCACGGCCACTTCAACACCAGGTACCATATTTATATACACCACATGCAGTTTGGCGTCATGTATGCATCCCTAGCACTGAACAAAAGCATGCCCTTCCGCAAGGTTGTTCTATCCCTGGCTCCTCCAGAGGATCGTTTTCACTGGACTCGATAGTTTGGCTTCCAAACGCGAAAGGTGTTGTGTGATCTTCCAGGTAGTGTCGTGACGTCTCTTGACAGTCTGCCAACCGAGTTGCCAAAGTGGAGCGCTGCGAAGGATGACAGCTGCAAGGCTGTGTGGGCACCATAGACTTCCCACCCGGGTGGCTTGAAGAGAACAGCGCGGTCAGCCTGGTTCCACACCACGGAGGCAGGAAGCTGCTCCTGAGGCGAAAGCAAAGAGCGCGGGGACACGCTCAGACTCTGAGATCTCTGAGAATGGCCTGCGGCAAGGGTGGACTCGGCAATGTGTAGGTCTCCCGGGTGCTTCGGTCTAAGTCGCGGCCGACTTCCAACAGCGCATCGTGCACGGCAGTTTGCAAGCTCTGTCGCAAACGCCCTGCAGTGGCCAAGGATCCCAGTATGCCTCAATTGAGGAAGTCGGGCGATACGACTTTTTTGAAGGCCCCTGCAGTGAGTGCAGCCAAGAAGCCCATAGCTGAGATGCCCAAGCGATTAAAAGCCAGTCGACTCGGTGCGATCTGCCTGCGCAGGAGTTTCGGATGTTCGCAATTGACGAGGCGATCATGGCTTTCCATGTCCTGCGAGCTGTGTAACTCTCCCCGTAAAGCCAATTGCCAATTGCCAATGAGCAAAACAGTGGCGAGAAGGGGCTGCGTTTGTGCTTACCCGGGGGCTCCCTGAACCTTCCTCTGTCATGTCCCCGGATATTTCCCGAAAACTGACAAGCCGAAGGTCCCTTTGCGGCATCTTTCTTACTCCTTCCACCACATTCACAAGGAAGCCCTCTCCTTTTCACCAGCGGAGCCTCAGCCTCCTGAGTTCGCCCGCCATGTGTCGCTGGATCAGGTCAGCAGCAAAGGGCTCCGAGCTCAGGGAGATGAGACCCGACACCTCGAGATTTGGGGCTTGGGTGCTCACAAGTCATGACTCGGCCGGAACCGACACGACGCCTGCACGGCACGATTCGAGATCAGGGGCCTTCATCCTAAACTTTCGGGCATCTTGGATCTAGAAACCAAACCAAACTTTTTTCGAGGCACCGCCATCGCAAGCTCATCGAGGCCAACGTTGGGGAACTGTTTCAAAAACCTCCGAATGGTCGACCTCTGCCATCAGGGCCCAAAAGGAGTCAAAGGAGGCATGGAGGATCGTGAAGGCAGGGTACGGTACTCAATATGGCAAACTGTGTTCGCTGCACTTGCCACGTTTCCGAGTGCATCACACACAGATCAATGGCCAAAGCGTGCCGTGGCGACTCAAGCATCCTTGAAAATTCCTCACGGACTCTTTTACGGATGCCGACCTGCAGAATTGGCTGTTCTCAGCGCCCAGGATATCCAGCGACCACAACACCCTGGACAACTCCTGCTTCAAGCAGATGCTGGGGGTCATCGCAAAGCAGCGAATTGGCATTGCTCCTAGCATGAGTCATACGTTGACATGTACCGGAACATGTTCCAATGGGACTTGGCTCTCGGTCCTCACCGTGGCATTGGCCTAAAGCCACCTCCACGCAAGCTTCGTGAATGACCTTGAGGGAGAGCTTCATCACTCCAGACCAATACATGCTTGGGCCCAAGATTCAATGCATGTCATAAGGGAACTGGATGCAAAGCCCTTCTCCCTAGCGGGCTGCACGATTGGAATAGGGTTTAGGCGCATACCTCCCACGAAACAGAACATGTCTCCATACTGCACATGCTCAGCACCACGTACCAACGGCGGTCACACACGGAAAAACTCGCGCGACAGTGCATGTTTGCAGACCATGGTATATGTGTGTATACACATGTACTATATGGTGAAGTAGTCATGTAAACGTGTAGAGGGAGATAATGCATATGTTCATATATATATATATAATTATAGTGTATTATATTACATTAAGTATAGTGTTTCATATTACATTATATCATATTATTTTACATAATATTCTATTTTTTAAATTGTATTATACATTATTATACTATATTATGTATATGTATGTACATATACACATATAATATACGCGTTTCCTGTCACAAGCAACAAGAATGGTCTAGAGGAGAACTCGGAGCCTCGGCGTCGGAGACACCAACTGTCGCCAGGCACCATAAGAAAGACACTGGAGGCCACGAGCTTTCCGAGGACCAAAGGAGTTCCAGTGCCTGGAAGGCTTTGCCGTGAGTGTCATAGTGGTGGGCACGATGAGCACCGGTTACTACTCGTAGCACAAAGTTGGTAGTGGTAATGGTGGTGGTAGCAACAGCCGTCGTCATCATAGTCCTCATCGTCCTCCTACTAGTAGCAGTAGTAATAGTAGCAGCAGCAGCAGTAGTAGCAGTAGTAGTCGTCGTTGTCGTCGCAATATTGGTGGTAGTAGCGGCCGCCGGAGGACGCGGAGGAGGGGGAGGTCGCACTACTTGGAAATCGTAAACCGGGACGAGTCCACTGAGCAGCCGAAGTGGGGAGTGGAGAGCTCAACTCTCAACATGCCCGTGGAGGCCGGCAAACAGCAGCTGGTCGGCTATTGACTTGGCTTCGAAGTCCCACGCCGTATCACGACAATCAGTACTGGAAATTGGCCCCTCATCCCTGGCCACCTGCTCTTGCTGACCAGAGCTGACGATGGCTGCCAGCGCGGGATCATACCCCATGAGGTCCGGTCGAAGAGCATCCTGCACAAGAACTCAGCTTACGCCTAGAACCCCCGGATTACTGGGGGTCCAGTTGGGCATTGACCTTACGCTGGCACAAACTGGTCACTTGTGGAGACTGCACTATGGTCCTCTACCATGCTGCTTAGAAGGTCCACGACCACCTGCCACTGATCCGCGCGGCCGCAGGTGCTGATGGCTGCGTTGTAACAATAGGACATATCTGACACGCAATACGCTCGCTGCATCGAGAGCAGCTGCAAAGCCGGCTGCCAAGCAGAACTGCGTCGGCAGGCGCTGATGAGACTTGTGATGGTTCTCGCATCGGCCGTAAGCTGCTTCCTCTGCAGGTCACCAAGCAACCTCAGGCAAACCTGCCAAGCATCCTCACAGGCAGCAATTGCTGCGTTGTACACAATGACATCCGGCACACAACCTTCTGCCTCCAGGTCAGCAAGCAGAAGCAGCACCTGCTCCCATCGACCTGCCCTGGCAAGGGCAGTGATTCTCGTTCCATATGAGACGTTATCTGCCGGAAGCTGGGCCTGTTGAGCTTCTGCGAGCAACTGCAGAGCGCATTCCCACTTATCGTTCTTGGTGCATGCGCTGCTCAACGCATTGAAGGTAATTGCATCTGGTCGGAAGTTGAGCGCCACAAGATCTGCAAGGTATGCAACTGCCTGCTGCCACTGGCTCGCTCTGCCATGCGAGACGATCAACGCATTGAAGGTCGACAAGTTCTCCCGTATTTGCCGACGCCTTAGAATCGCGTGCAGCAGTCGAACCCGTCGCAGCTGGTCGGCATTTCCACATGCGGTAATGGCGGTGTTGAAAGACATTATGTCTGGCACCATCTCCCTGCGAGCGCAGTCGAACAAACAGCACAGAGCAAGCTCCCAATGAGAGCCCTTTTCGCAGCTGCTGATCGCTGCGGTATAGGCGATGACGCTCATCTGCAAGCTGCTTCGCTGCACCTCCTCGAAGCAGAGTAGCGCAGTCTGCCACTGTTCCTCGCTTGCGCAGGCCTTCATGAGTGAACCGTAAGTCACGATGCTGGGCCCCATCGAACTCTCCAGAAGTTCGGCTAAGAGGCCAAGCGCTACCTCCCAATTCCCAGAACCCTCCCAGGCCATGGCAGCATTGTAAGAGATCGTGTCCGCACGGAGCAATTGTTCCTGCATGTGTCGCAGAAGTGAGACAGCACGAAGCCATTGACCCACCCTGCTGCAAGCGAAAATGGCGGCATTGCAGGAGACTTCGGAACGTTGCACGCCGGCCGTGTACATCCTTGTGAGCAAGTCGATGGCGCGCTCCCACTCTCCAGCTCTCGAATGCACGGAAATGCCAGCATTCCACACCATGGTATTTCTTCCAATGCTCCCTGTAGTCATTGGCCCGAAGTCATGCAAAACCGAAGCTGCGAGTTCCCACTTGCCGACAGGCTCCTCGAGGCTATCAGCTCTAACAACGTAGAGACCAACTACTCTGCACCGAAACAGAAAACATCCTTCTAGAATGCCAGGCAGGCGCACAAGCACAAAGGGCAGCGCTGAGGGTGAATGAGTCCGGCTCCAGTCTGGTGTCTAGAAGATCGAAGAAGAGAAGCAGAGACGTTGGCCAGCTGGTTCCCTGTGTGCAAGCAGTGATAGCGCTGTTGTAGGTGACAACATCCGGCTGCAGCTTTGCAAGGAAAATTTCCTGAAAGCAGGTCAAAGCTGCTCGCCAATTCGCACCTTTTCCGCACGCAGTGATGGCGACGTTGTAGGTTTTTGTCTTGGCGAGCCTTCTTGCTGCCTGCTCCGCTAACCAAAGGAAGGTGTCCTCCCACAGGTGCATGTTGAAGTTCGTGTTCCATGGGCTTCGGGCCTGCAAGACCAATTCTATGATTCCATGCTGACAGCCAGGTGGCTGCAGACCCAGAGTCGAGTCTAGAGCATGTCCAAGGCGACGAAAACACAAATTACACGCCTGAATCGAATGACTTTTGATTCTGCTTCGCGTGTACTGCAAGCTCGCATGCAACAGCAGCGGCTCCCAGAACTATCTCGTTTGCTTCCAAGAGCAGCTGGTCAAGCTGGCATAGTAGCCCCAGAGCCAGTCTCCACTGCAACTGCCTGCCGGTCCGTAGGAGGACACACTGAAGCTATGAGCAGATTGGAAGCATGATGACAAAGTTAGAGGTCAGCTGATCCATGGAAGTGAACTGCCAGAACCTGCACCTACAAGCAGCCTATAAGCAGCCGGTGAGTAAGGCTTCCAAAGTCTCCCAATCTAATCAAAGTGCGTCTCGAGGTGCGATCCACATGCACTTATGGTCGCCCCGAAGGTGATGATGTTCCGCTGCATGCCTTTGCAAGAGGCGCCCTACGAGTTGAGTCCGACTATCACGCGGTCTGCCCCACATGGTGACGAGGTTAAAAGTATGTTGCGTGCCGCGAAGTTGGATCTGCTACGGAGCTTGGTAGCAACCGTTTCGCAAATTTTTGATCTACCAGTAATGGCAAACAATATTCTTCAGGAGGCCTCGATGTCGAAGGTCATCCGCAAGCACAAATGCTGACCGCCAGTGCTCACTCCCCTCCAAAGCATCGATGGCCGCATTGTAAATGATCAACTTGGCTGGAACGGTATGTGCAGCTGTGAAGAGTTGGCTGCCGAAGAATACAGAATTTGGGATGCAGAACAAGACAGGGAGAAGGCACAGTCATCACATCAGCATATACTAAGGCGAGGGCATTTCCCTGAAGGTTTGAATTCATGAATTCACCAAGCACATAAAATGCTGCCTGCCAGTGTCCGCAGCGTCCACATGCGCTGATAAGTGCACTGTAGGTGACGACGCTTGGCTGGAGTTTAAGGTCTCCGATCTGCGATGCAACAAGCAACGCGTTCTGCCATTGTTCACTTTTTTCGCAAGCACTGATCACGGCATTGAGCAAGATCAAATTGGGTGTCGCACGGCGATCGAGAAGTTCGTGCAAGAAAGCCAAACCAAGTTGCCACTGCTGGCCCTTTTCAAGGGCACTCACCGTAGCGCCACACGTAAGCAAGTTGGGACTCCAGCTGCTTTCATGGACCATGTGATACACATGCAACGCGCTGGTCCAGGATGTTGCCTTTTCGCAAGCACTGATGCTCGTGTTGAAGGTGACCAAGCTTCTCCTGTCAAGACGGCATGACACAACTCCCTGCTGTGCAAGCGGATGCTGCTTGTCAGAGAATGGTTAATTGGCTAGTTCATGATGCCAATGCCCCCCAAACGGAGCAGAGTCCTGAGACTGTGTCGTGTCAGGTCAAGTGCCACATCGAATGCCGTCTGCCAGTGGCGTCCAGTGCCGCTGCTCCCTATGGCTGCGTTGTAGCTGATGGTAGTTGCGCACCTGGGCTGGCTCTGACCTCAAATGCCTTGTCACATTTGCCAGCTTAACTTTGTGCAGGCGCATCCGCACCACGAGCTAGGCACCCAGGAAATCCCAGGAAGTACTGTCGTTGAGAAAAAACTTCGAAGCCATGATTGATGATTGAGGTTTGCCAACAGATTGATGACCCGAGGGCCCGAGTCTCCGTAGCTGTGTGGGACGGAACTGCGTTGAGAACTTGAGCAACACTTCGTGCCCCATGGCACTGGCAGTCGGCTTTCTTCTGGAAAAATAGTCCGTCTGGTGAGGTGTTAACGAGCTAAAGCGGCAGTGCACAAGGGTTTCGAGCTGTGGCCGGAGGGCAACGTCTTAAGTCTTACCCTCCGTGCATACTGGGCTGACGACACCAGACCGACGAGGCCTAAACCAAGTTACGGGTATCTGAACAGCAGCCATATGTCTGCAGGAGCACTCTCAGCCGGGCGTCATAGCAGAGGTCTGGAGCCTAAAAAGCAGATGAAGGGCTCTTTGCCACCGATCTCCTGAGTTTAAGGCACAGTTTTGTCACATTAGCTGGAGTCGTTATCCTAGCAGCATTTGCTCACCAATGGCGGATAAAACCACTGCTGCTACGAGTATTTATGCTGCTTGGTATAGTGTACCCACTACCACTGCGACTGCCAGGCATAGTGTTACCACTGCGACTCCTATTGCTTGCAGCTGCTAGCTCTTGATGTCCTCACTGGATTTGAAGCCCCTCACTGCAACTAGAGAATGCTGGGAAGTGTACCTGCTTAGGCGATCAGAGAATGATGCCTAAGGTCGGCACGTGAAGCCATGCACTACAACATCAATCCCCAAACCAGTCTCCTTCTTTCGTCAGGGTTAGGGTGTACGAGTAGCAAACCAGTCTCTGTCTCTCTCGCTCTCTTCCGTCCGTTGGGTCAAGGCTAGCGACGCTCGCTCTCTCTCTCTCCTTCCTTCCTTCCTTCCTTCCTTCCTTCCTTCCTTCCTTCCTTCCTTCCTTCCTTCCTTCCTTCCTTCCTTCCTTCCACTTATGTTAAGTCTGCGGCGCAAACCCGGGCCAAGGCCCCCTCACCCCTACTTCTTTGGTGGGATGAGGCTTTGGGGTGTCGAAGGAGGTGCTTATCCCCCCAGACTGTCTGTGTCTTTGCTTTGCTTTGCTAGGGGTTAGAGTCAGGAGGAGTTACCTCCTAACACTGTCTGTGTCTCTCTCTCTCTCTCTCCCTCTCTTCTTGACAACCTGATTCTTTTGCCAGGACTGTGGTGAGTTGCCCCCCACAACCTCTTGCTTGCTTGCTGCAGGTTAAAGGCAGGGGTGACCTTACCCTCCCCCGAAGGGGACCTGTGCGTCCTGCGCCCAGGGCAATCTCTCTCTTTCTCTCTGCTGGCGAAGTGGTGCCTCGATGCAACATTCCGCTTCTAGACTGTCGCTCCAGCAACAACCATGACTCGTCAGACAGACAGGGTTCCGCTGACTGGGATTTCCGGGCTCAAACTCTGAGGCGACAACCCCATTGTGACTAATGTGTATAGGACCCCACATCTTCAGCCCTATGCAGCCAGAATCCTGCACCGCAGGTGCATATCGCAGAACTGATTCCAATCCTGAGTTGCACGTGCAGGAAACAGCTGCGAGCAGAGTCCAAGACTGCGCATGTCGTGCACATGCATGCACCGGAGCTCGCTGCTCAAACAGCCAACGGCGAACACCCTCCGTGCAAACAAGAATCGCATCAGCTTGTGTGTCGCCAGCCTCAGGGTCATGCGTCTGTGCTGGCTCGTCAAGTGCATGTACATTATATACAAGCGCAGCGACGATGCCGACTCAGTCAGATCATTCACGAACGAAGCTGGCCTCGAGGGTCCGTAGCAGATCCAGGGCACGATCCCAGTAGTTCCCTTTTTCAGAGGAGCTAATGGCCTCGGGACAGCAAAACTGCGGTGGAGCACGTGGAGGCACTGCCACTGCAAAAAAGAAGCAGTGTCATGGGCAATGACGTCTGGCTGCAGATTCTGATGAGACATCTTGGCCAAGACGGCTAGTGACAGGCTCCACTTCCGTTGACACCCATCAATAGCGGTATTGAAGCTGATGATGTCGCTCCGAAGATGTCTTGCCTCATGCAAAGGCCCGCTTATCCATTCTCGCTTGTACGTGGGAAGGCTTCTCGCCGATCCTTGCCGGCAGATTATGCTGAGGCCCTGCGTGGCCTTCACGTCATGAAGCAGGTGAAGGGACCATCGCCACTGCCTGAGATTGAGCAGGTGCCCAAGTATCATGCGAAGGCGTTTAGAGGGCTCCTACAAAGACGAGCCACCTGCGAGGCTTAAGTTTTCGGCGAACTCCTGGTTCTGCTGCTCATTTTATGTGCCGAGCATCTCAACCACAGCAATGGCGCTGAAAGATGTATTGTAGCTGAAGAGGTCCTTCTGCAGACATTCCCTGGAGTCGGGGGCTGCGGCCATGTCCAAGTCTCTTTTATCCGACGACATCTGTGTGAGGCAGTAAGGTAACTGTTCGCTTTCATGCATCATGCAAGGATTACGACATGTACTGTTTGCTACCAGTGGACGCCTGTCAATGTCAGCGAGAACAGATAGCGATGTTTCCCAGAGCTTGCTTTTGCCGCAAGAGCTGATCGTGGCATTGAAGCTCACCTCGCTGATGCAAGTTGTTCTCACGAAGTTGCGATGAGACGGGCCCGGAGTTGGCAAATATCAAATTGGATTTGTGGGTTTGATGTGGAGACTTTAGGTTGCTGAACTTCCTATCCGTTTACTAGTTAAAGGCAGGCAGAACACCTTCAGCCGGGTCACCAAGTCCACCTGGGCCGTGCAACTGGAACCTTGATGTAGCAGCTGCAGTGCCTTCCGGGCCAAACTGTGCCAAGATCGCTCTGCTTCTATTGCTGCAGTAAACAGAATCTCCAACGTCCTGTCTTCCAGAAACCCCCCACGACGTGATGCATGCGCTGTTCGCAAACAACTCTCGCCTGCTTGCGTCTTCTTAGGGTCTGAGCTGTAGTAATTTTGCCAAAGCTCTTGTTTCCACTGCTTCTTCTTGGCAAGGTCGCAAACCTCCTCGGTTCCGTGACAGGTGTGGGTGCCTCAACTCCAAAGAAATAGTTCCCTTTGGCGTAGCCCTGGCAGCCCCTTGGAGTTGAACAGCGAACTCTCTGCTTCAGGTGGAGAAAGCCGCAGTTGCAAAGAACGTTTAGAGGATGTCCGAAGAACAAACCGCTGAGCTTCGAGCCGATCTCAAAGTGGCCGATGACAAATGGCACCTGGGAGGTGCCCCAGTGTCCCCATGTCGGTCCTGGGTATACTGTAAAGTAGGAAGGGGAAGGCCTCGAGGCTGCATTTCTGGGCTGCGCATGTTCTGTTCCTGGCTGATGTCGGCATCTGAGTGTGCCTGCAACAATTCTACACTATTCTACGCCACTCTGCAAGATTCTGCTACGATCGCTTCTGCGCTCCCAAGTGCAATCATGCGGCCTAAGATGGGCCTTCCCGGATGTGGTCGACGAGCTAGGAACCAGGAGCGACATCATTGCCAGCCCGAGCCGCTCAACCGGACAAAGAAATTCAACTTAGCAATTGACGTCGGTATTCTTTCGACGGGCCTGCTGGGAGTATCGTAACGGACAATACCTCAGCTTACCGCCCCTAGCTGCTGAGCCTGCGGAGCCGGCGAGTGCATTCGCAAAAGCTTTAGCAACGACTGGCTCTCAAGCTGAGGCCCAGCCACAACTAGATATATACAGAATAGTGTCTTATTTTAGTTTATTCTGCTATATTATAATATGTTATATCACATAATAATATATTATAGTACATGATATAATATACCGTAATTCGAACTTCCGGCTCAAGCAACTGCTGACTGCTACTGATGCAACACCGCCTCCTGCGGTCGACCCGACTGGGCGCAAGCATTGATGACCTGCTCAGTCTCCGAATGGCTTTCATGTGTTACATGGAGTTAGACGACCAAAATCTCTGCCACAAGCCGGCGAAGTTAAAAAATAAAAATAACCTCCGTGGCTACTGGTAGGTTGCTAAAGTCTGCTAGATAAACTGATAAACCCTCCTGCCGGCAGTTACTGGACGTGCAATTACTGCGGAGTCACAGGCAGTCATGTCCAAAAGCCCACCGCGATGTGCTGGGCAAGCGGCGGTGGTGTAAGAGAAGACATCGGGAGTGATGCCGGAGGCCTCCATTTCACCTGTCTTGCGCTGTCTCCAAGCAGTGCAGGCGCAAGGGTGGGCGTCGCTGCTGAAAGTATGTCAAACGGGAATCCTGCGATACTCACGAGACTCTCGTGCATGCTTCTGGGTCGTCACCTACATGAAGAAACGCTCCTGCGGTGCAGCTTGGGGCAATCACCGAGCCACATCTCAGCTTCTGTGACTCGCCCCACCCTGCCGGCAGCATTCCACAAAGCCAAGATCCCCGCAAAGTGTGTTGATACTACGTCAGCATTGTACATGTGACAGCCTGCCGGATCTTGAGCTAAACTGCATGAATGTCCTAGCGAGGACAGGCCTGGCACAAGCATTGATGATGCCTCGGCTTTCACTCAAGCTGACATAGCCTTCAGCACCAGACTCTTGAGGCAGAGAAGTTAAAACAATCGAGACAAAGCCAGTGCCTTCAGGCTCCCGTTGCCGCCAAGTTTCCATTCCAAGCGACTGCATCTGGTTCGACCGTGGCCGAGACCATGTTCTCAGATTTCTAAAGGCTTGGGAATGGAGGCTGGGAGGCACGGCAGCACAATTCATGTTGACAAAACAACAGAAGTCACCACTAGGATGTAGATTGTACGGCTGACCATACCAGCCCTAACAGTAGCCCACTTGGCATTGGCACTACAGCTTCGGTCGGTGGCTGCATTTCTTGACAAGCACCGGTGCATCCGGGCGGCATCGAACCACTGGATTGCTTCGTCGGTCTTGCTCGCCTGTCGCAGGGCCCGGCCCGGTATCAAAAGGACTCTGAGTTGCCGCAGCAACAGCAGCAGTCTGTCTTCGAGTTCCTGACCCTCACGCACAGCAACCATTCCGGTCACACTCCACTGGGCTCTGCAGCATTCTGCATGGGTACGTTTCTTCCGCTGCCTTCGCGCAGGCAGATATTACCCGTCCAAACACGTGGACGGTCAGGTTTCCATCCTCGGGCCAAGCTGAACAGGTGGCAGCAGCAGGACGAGGGGTTGGCAACGTCGGGTCGAGGCCAAGGAGCACTTCCAACAGACTTGCAAATCAAGATCTATAATCCTCCCTGTGTTGTCCTCCATCCACGGAAGCTGCTGTCAGAAGTTAGAGAGACCCCGTGTCCATCCCCACCTCTATTGCGACCCTACTTCTGGATCAACGCGGAGGGTTCACATCCTCCTGTGACATCTTATTTCCACTATCCACGTCGGAATACCGAAACTCGAAAGCCATCACGCCTCCTCAAGCTGCTGTGTGAGCTGCCGTGCCTCCTCGCAGAACAAAATCAAGGCGCGAGGTGTGCATCGAAGTATACGAGAGTGCAAGCGACTCCTCGATCCTTAGGCTTAAGTTGAATCATCCTTGATATACATGCAGAGTATAGGCAAAAAACAGCGATCGGCACGTGTGAGAACATCATTCGGGGAAGCGTTGCAGTTCTGATGCACGAGGCACTCCAAGCGCAGCTGCTCAGCATGAAAGAGAGAAATCACCGGAGAACTCCGAGTTTCTTTGCGCCGACACAGAACGACAGGTTGGCCCGGCCTCCGGACTGTCATGGCCTGGAGACGCTCGGAACTCTGATGGCTGTGGCAGCTTTTCGGCAAACGTGCTGCACTCAAACACCCGAGTCCGGGGCTGGCAAACTCTTCGACCAGAGTCGTTCGAGCCATGGTGTCCACTCGCCCCTCTTCGGCCTCGAGAACCAGGTTTGGAGTGTCGAGTGGTTTAAAAGTTTCGGGTTGTCGATATCAAGCTTCTCGGACGTAGAGAAGGCATTGAAAGCGCGGACAAACATGCTTGCGACCATCGGGAAGGATGCAACGAACCATCTGCGGCCGCAGCCATGGAAAACTCGGAAGCAAAGCTAGTTGAACCACGCCTCCAGTCGCACGAGGAGGTCTTTGGCCTGTTCTCTGTTCTGCGCCCGTGCGAACGCCTGCGATTTGCATTGATAGCTGCTTGCTCTCTTCCGATGGATTAGATTACACAACATGCTGTGTCGTAGGTTCAATCTCAAAACGCTCCCCATGCTGAGGCAGGCAAGGCGATGCATACGAAACTGCTGTTGGTGCAAGGCCGATGGCTTTCGCTGGCGCATTCGTGCCGTCATGGGCCATGGCCATCCATGCCTGCATCAGAGCGACATAGGCCGGCCGCAAGGGAATGCCTCAGCGAACCAATCATGTCTGGCAAAAGGCCTGCGCGCGGCATGTCTGGAGTTCGTCAACACAGTCCCTGAGGTGCTGGTTTGTAGAGTAGATGTTTACAAGCATGCAAGGCTGCCAGCAACAAGTGCGACTGCCGGGAAATGAGACTATCGGCTCTCGGTCCGGTCGCGCAGAGCAGCACGGACCCTTGGCCCCAAAACAAATCACGGAAGCCCAGTTGGACCCGCCCGAAAAGTGGCCTCTGTGGCTTGAACTCGAAACGCTTGATCTCTAGTCCTGGAACTCCGTTACCGTGGACCCCAGACCACAGGAGACGCGCCTCGCGGCCCTCTGGACGAGCGACCATCCTACTCAGCGGGTTGGTGCAATTTGTGCTGGGCAGTCTTGAGGATTATCAGCAAGTGGATTGGGGAGTTCTCTAACGTCTCTAGCTAAGACGTATATATGTATATGTTACACATATGCACACAATCTTATGCGACGGTTACCTCGAAGTTGACAACAAAGGCAAAAGGAACACACGACGCGCTTCGCTCTCGGCTCGCGCGCAAAACAGTTCGCGTCCTCAAGATCCTGTTCAACCGATTCACGGATATTTCTGACTTTGTGTTGTAAACCGCTTAGTCAAATAAGCACAAACGAGCGAATATATCTATGTGATTCTGTGTTTCTCGCACATACTCGATAGCAATCAGTAAACAGCATGTCAATCTCGGGGATTCAAGTAGCCCCTCTCTGACAGCCAACATGCCGAAGCAAGCTTGCGCTTGGGACCTCGTCTGGCGTAGACTTCCTGAGATGCTGGGGATCATTGTAAAGTCTCGCAGTGCCCGCTGCCTGGTAGTAACGCGAAGAGCATGCCCTCTGACTTGCAGCCAAGGCACAAGTTTGCGGCTTCAGCGCGCTCTAGCCAATCGAGGCCCTCTTTGAGACGCTTGGCCTCAAGAGTAGTACTCAGTAGCTCCGCAGCAACCGTGCAAACTTTTCCTTGGGTCGGCGTTTTAGGAGCCAAACATACTGAATTTGCAATTGCCCCACGTCCTGTGTTCTGCGGGGGGCACGGGAGAATTGCGATTTCAACGTAAACAAGGCCCAAATCCAGTTCCCTCGCGTCTGCTGATCGAAAGACTCGGCCTGGGAGATCAAAGCATCCAACCTTCCATAGGATGTCCGAAGTATGGTTCCACGTGTAGAAGGCAGAAAGTGTGCTGAGACCGCAACACACATCATGCCTTGCCAATCCCTTTGATTGCCAATCCCTTCGGGGTCAGAAAGTCAAGCACTAAGGGCCTAAGGGTGGCGCCATGGTGCACACCGTCACGGCTTTCACGAAGAAGGAAACGGCCCCTCTGCCTGTCACATCTTCGTTATGCTTTACATATGTACCAAGACAGCCGACATTTCCTCACTCTCCGCACGATGCTAGTGGACAGCTCATGATAGAGGCTGAGTTGCTGAATTTGAAACTCGATTTCTTTCCATCCGATGCTATCACCATTCCGAGGGGACGCACCTTCAGCAGGTGGATCAATGCCGGCATCCTCGCTTGACGCTTCAAACACTGAACTTGGACAACGCAAGTCCCGTGAAATTGCGACTCAGGAAGCACACCGCCAGGTGCGGCAAAGGAGGCATGCAGTCCTCCATGCCGTTCAGCCACGCGAACGCCTGGCAGACCAATGCAAGAAACAAGCTCCAGCTGGCCTTGAGCCACAAAAATCACCACGGTGCGCATGCGGTGTCACCAATGCCCCGTCGGCCTCTGTGAAGGAGCCGGTTTGTATGCAGACATCGAGAGCCTTGAGAGTGCTGTCTGGGATTTACAAAGCCAACCACTTGAGGCTCTGCTGAGTGCGGACGCCCGGCTCTTCTGTGGAGACGAAAGCACAAAACGGATCTTCATCACGAAGTGAGGATGGACTGGTGGCATCCAAGTGGCCAGTGTGACGAACTGCGCATCGAAATCTAAGCCAGACCTTTCAAGATGTCGTTTGACCGGCATCACCCTCCCTGGTTGTTGATAAATTCTTCTATGCTCGCTCGTTCATCTGTTGTGCAAGACAACATGTCGACAAACAGTTCTCTCAATTCGCCACATCCTGGCTGCAATCTGCCAAACTCGGCCAGACCCGCCTTACAACTTGTCGCAGCCACCTGCATGTCGAAAGGCAGCATCAAACATTGTCTCAGCTTCGCCTGTGTTTAGACCTTCATGCACAACTACTCTAGTGATAGTATTGACAGATCACTGAACTAGTGGAGTTCTGTTGGACTTGCGTCCGTCACATGGCAAGGTGCTCGTCTTTTCCCTAGGAACAACATGGCTCCCTGTGCAAAGCCAGGCTACGACCTTTCTAGGAATTTGGGGCAGCCATGGGGCGCCTGTAGGCCTCTGCGCGCTTCTTTGCGGAGAGGAGGCCTCAAGCAGGCTTGACAAGTTTACATGCCTGAGACGGATGCAATTTCGCAGCAGAATCCTCATCCCCCCGCATGGTTTAAAGCCTTAACGTGCTACTTGTCGCCTGCCCTACCAATCCGCCACAGCGCCTCGAAGAATCCGGTCGTGGAGTCGAATTGCAGGCTTCACGTTCATCTGGTCCATGGTCTCGCAATGCGTCCAGGCTCTCTGTGATTGATGGATTGCAGCACTCAAGAAGGGACTGAGCCGACTAGGTAAGATTGCCGAACTGACACACTGCCTCCCAGCACATGGCAATGAAGCCCAGGCCTTCAAGAGGGAGGCCACAGCGCTGGTGCGGCCCTGCCTTGCTAACCTCAGCAATACCACAGAACAGGAGCAGATGGAGGATGGCCAAATGGGACGGACCATACGTGGTAGAACACCACCCCGGTCCACACGCTCCGGGCAACGTTACAGGAGACCCGAGGCCAGAACGCTCCGGCGACTTTGGTGTAGGACCAAATATTTGGACGAACTTCGCGACTCCTTCCGGCATTCCACATGTTGAACATGCGTTCACCCGGGTGTCGCTGTCTCTGCGGTGGTTTCTTTGCAAAGCATGGCATTACGGCAACGTCTCCTCGATCCACTTGAAGAATCGTCCTTATACAGAAAAGTTCACGTGCCAGTGCTACCAGTGGCATGCGGCTCATCGCCTGCGAGACCTCTGATGCCTTGCACCCAGGAGGGGACCTGCAAGCTCGGTCTCAGGCCTCCGGAGCCATCATGGAAACCAGCCAGTCAAAGGCATCATCGACCCTCCCAGTTTTCAGAAGAGCCTGCCGAGTCAGAGTCAGACTTTGCTCCACATGGTAAGAGTGACCCTTGATGGCTTAAGGAAACAGCGAAGCAGCTGACATGGAAATTCTCATGCCTCAAGCATGCCATTGTGCATGACCACATCGACTGGCACGCCATCGTCCTAGGTTCTCGGTCTGCAGAAACATCTCACAAGTTAAAGCTACACACACGAAGTTGCCACAGTACGCAACAGGTGTAGAGCTCGTTGCCCAACGCTATAGCGATTTTGAACGTGCCAAGACGGTGCGACACAGTCAGCTAAGAGCCGCGCATCCATGTCCTCCATAAGGCGTCCAATGTCTTCCGGTCTGCCAGCCTGCGACTTTTTTCACGGTTGTCCTCTGGTCATCTAGTCTTGCTCTTGCTGCATGCCTGCCTTCGCAAAGCCGTTTATGACGCTGCCGTACGAGACAACTCGGAAGGAAGCGCAAACGAATTCACATATCGCACAAAATCAGAAAATGAATCGGTCCAAGTTGCCATCTGGCGAACACTCCATGGCTCTAAGCTTCCTGAGTTAAGAGGCGGCAGCGCGAAACAGGATGCTGACGTGGATTACATGCAACGTTCTGGCAATGGTTCTGCCTTTAAAGCCTACCCAAAGAACAGCAGCTCCGGCGAGCGTCGCAAGGAGAAGGGCAGCCTTGTCCACGTGTCCTTCCTCGGTCACAGGGTCGGACATGAGCTTTGCGGAGCTTCTTGCTGGGGGCTTCGCTGCAGAAACCTACGCCTCAGAATTTATGAGATGACTTAATGACACATGGCAAACGAATAACGACCGTTGAATGATGGTCTTGCTGCAATGTCTCGCGGTTTGCATCAGTCAGGGGGCCTTTGAGCACGCATGGATCACACTGCCGTATGACGACGTCGAGGGAGTCACCTCCGTCACACCCAGGGTATGTATGTCGAGCTTAGTCGGCTATGATGGTGCAACTCGCACAAGCTTGGCACAAACACCCTGAGAGAGCAGTGCACAGCCCGGACAAAGGACTGAGTGCGGCCACCATGTTCAACGCCATCTCCTCGAAAGGGAAATAAAAAGTGATCGATGCATTCTGAAATGCAAGTAGAAGCACCTCCGCCAAACGACATGGCAACTAATCGGGAAATCGCAAGGGGTCCTCCACCAGTGCACAGGCCTCTTCCGCCTGGCCTCCTCTCAACAGCTCCTCAAGGATCTGGATTGCTCTGTTGTATTCTTTGGATTCGCCCAAAGCCCCCAAAACGCCTCAAACTTGCAAAACATCGCACACTCTACAGTAAAGCCCTATAAAGCCCTAATCATCCTAATCCACGTAACGGCCCTCAGCAGGCACCTTGATGCCAGCATCTGAGCTGGGCCTCGGCAGCGAGACGGTCCGGTTCCTCAAAGGTCCCTAGACCTTGTGAGCAAGTTCAGAACAAATCTTTCCCCTTAGATGATGATTTCTGCTTACTTTCTTGGGTCCTGTCTTTCTTTGCTATGGGGTCGTCACTTCCCATGCCTCCGCGGTATAAGTAAGTATGCTCAAGTATGCTAAAGTGCAGGGAAGGGGTAGGGGATTTGCACATGCTGGTACACCGGTCACGAGCTCCCGCTGTAGATGCTCTCAAGCTATCCTACCGGTACTGAAGGACTGCCAGGGTTTGACGTCGTGAGGCTTGAAGGCCGACGAATGCGTCGGCGTTCGGTTCTCGATTCCAACGCCACACATCACAATGCTGGCCAGCACAGGAACGAGACAAATTGACACCGAATCATCAAATTTGTCCAAGCCGCCGCACGTCCTGCGACTGGTGTTGAGTGGGTCTTAAATCAAGTAAAACATAGTTGCTGCTAGAGTCAGCGGCCAAACATGGCCGCTACAGCTTCTAGTCGATAAAACTATCATAAACCACGATTCACCTAGAAGTCGTGTTTGGCAGAAACTGATTCAAGTTGCGATCGTATCTGATTTCATGATGCCTGACATGGCTGCGAGAGAGTACCCACAGCATTGCTCATGGGCTGAGTCCGCAGAATCCTCAACCGTGTTGGACGCTTGCCGGCTATCCAGCTTCGCTCGCAGCTCCACCCGAAGCTTGCGCAGCCTCGAATGAAACGAGGCCAAGGCCATGGCTCACAAGAGCACTGCGTGGGAATCCTGGATACCGTCGTCGCCCAAACAAGCTCAAGACTCATAGCCAAAATTCGAGATAAGCCTGCAATTACAAGTCTCATCCAAACCTGTGCTGTGACAGCGAGATCACGCCGGGCACCGAACGGATTGCGTGCACCTGGTGAGCTGTCCCGAAATAATAACATGTTTTCCTGTATGCAATGACATAAGCAGGTGGACTGGACTGCCTTGGCCTTGACATGATTCCACACCCATAGGTTCAAAGAGTCGTCTGCAATGGGCCTCTGGAAGCGGGGCGGGACTGGGAGTGTAGCGCGGCAGCACCGACCTGGCAAGCTTGGAATTGCCGCGACACTGTGCTCAATTACACTTCACATCTGCGGCCCTCTCCATCAATTTCGCTGGCGTGACCGCGACGCCAGCCAAGTTCGCTCGCCAAGAAGCCTTCCTGGAAATCGCAGCATGGATCCAACCAACAGTAAGGAAATACACATCCCCTTTTGGTAGGTCAGGCATGGCAAGGTGCACTCATAGCAACTCAGTCGTCACTGGCATTGTCTTGCAGCCGGAGGTTAGCCGTGGTACATGAACGGCGCTCGGCGTTCAAGTGGCTTCACGAATGGCGCAACGAGACCAAGAAAACCGGCCATGAATGCTCTTCGGCAGCTCTGCTCGGAATTTGGCAGCTCTTGTTGCTGGCAAAAAGCCATCACAAACTGCGTTGCCCGCACACCACCCTTCCCTCACGGCCGCTAACATTGGCCTTGTCTGCCTACATCCCTGCACGACACGAACCGCTGGTTGAGGGCTGCTCTTCGATAATCGAGCTTCTTTAGTGAGTCCCGCGCTCGACGCCAGAGCTCCTGTGGCCGTGGAACCCTGCAAAGACAGGAGTCCAATTGCAAAACGAGACTGTGCACTCCGTGCCCCGCCCTTCCAGCTGACCGTTTAGACACTTCGATTTGACAAGTACTGGTAGCCACACTAATCCGGCAAAGATATCTTCATCTGCAATGTCTGCCCTCACCATGAGCATCATCACCATCATCATCATCATCGTCATGATCGTCATCAACTTCAGCACCAAACTGATGATCGACATCCTGACCGATGACAGCCGTGCATACATCCGCTGGTCAACAAACATCCCCGTGGTGCCTGCCACCGTTGAGGACTCATGTCTCCAATACCTGCCAGGTGTTCAACCAAAACTGTGAGTCCATTGTCAGGTACGGCCATCAAGAAAAATCTGGTGTGTGTGTACACCATCTATCTGACTGATATACATGTTACCATTATGCTGCGGACATGCGACATTGTGTAAAGGCCTTGCAATTTATGCCAGCCACTAATTGCGATCGCAAAGGACCAAGGAGCGCACCGCGGCAAGCTGGTGTCGAAGTGACAAGGCTGCACGAAAGCCATATGCAATACCAGGCTCCTAGAAAATGTGATACCTGGCACGTATCACTCGCAACAGATTGGTATGATCTTGAGATGCTCAGCGGCCCTGGGGAGCTTGCCAGTTTTGTGTATGTTTTGGATTTGTCTGCTGGTCTCATGCTGGGTAGCCTGGTAATGGTTCTGATCTGAACAAACGCTTGGCTTGCAATCGTGACCTTGGAGTCGAGTCGTTCCTGCTGGTACAGCCTGTTCTAGGTTTGACTAAAAGCGGAGTTGCAATGAGTCTGCTGGCGCAGTGTGCTGGGTCTTGACCTTTGTCGGGCTCATGGCTAGGAAGGTTTGGACGGTGCGCAGCGCCAGGAGAGAATCACGCAGCAACAACACCAGGGACAGCTTGGCACCGCGTACCCCTCATCCCCACTGCACTACAACTTATAACTATTCAGGACTGTGGATGTCCAGGGATCTGCAGGCCTTCCTATGTCTTCGTGTTTCGTCTTGTCTTTTTGTGAAACATGCCAGGTGCAAAGACTGCATTTCAGTCCAACGAACTGGCCTCTAAGATGCCAGGGAGCGGTTGGCTCTAAACAGTCACTGCTGCTGGGCTCGCACGTCTCCAGCGATGCATGTGCTTCTGCTGACACGTGGCATGCTTGCACCAACTGAAACTGATGCCCCTAACAAGCCTGGTACATAAAATCAGATGCTCATGCAAAGTGCTTAGTACAAGGCCACCAATCCTACGCCCCGATTCGGCTTCGCGTTCAGCCGCCGTGGTGACCTGCCGATTGAAGAAGCTGAATCCGGATCCATCTCAAGTCCCTGCGAACATGACAAGCTGTGGAGCTCCAGGCCTGCCAGGCCAGTGGACAGCATCGGCAGCTTTGTCGGCGGCGGTGGCAAATCCACGGGTGGTTCCAACCTCACAACGAGTGCTCGGTAAAGTCAAGTTGCTGAGAAGACGACTAAGATGTCGTTCAACAGGGTTTTCACGACCCTGGCAAACTCAGAGTTGCCTGACATCAGGTGCGCTGTGCTCTCAGTTCTGCCTACTCTCGCTAGCGTTCCCAAGGGGCTCGGGGGGTGACGTGGCGATATTCGCAGCACTGCGAGACTCCGGCGACCGTGGAGATGGGTGTGGAAGAACTGACTTGGGGTCCCTGGGCTGGCAGAGCTCAGTGCTTGCTACAGTCTTGGCTTTCATCATCTTTCATCCACCATGCTTGAAGGCTAAGTCTGCTTGTCAAGTGCGACTGCAACCCAGCGAGCTTTCGCCCTTTGTGCCCACATAAGCTCACAATTGATGTCACCGAGCCTCGATCGGGAACAAAATGTCTAAACACAACCAGCTCCCAGAAAGGAGTCTGTCCAATTTCTCTAAGAGGAAAGCCAGTGCTCTGCAGCAGAATTATCCCGAGTCACCGCAGTCACTCATTCCTTGTCTTTGCTCTTGTTGCTGCTACTGCTATTAGCGGTGCTGCTACAGCGCATCGCCAATTAGTTTTTCTGGTAGGCCTCCTCCGCCCGAAAGAGACCCGATTTTGAAATCCAATGCATCAAAACCTGAACTGGAGTTGAGACGGCCGGCATTTGCTTCTGATTGTGTTTGTTCCCTTGGGGATTTCAGAGACCGCAACTCCAAACAAATCTAGGAACAAGCAAATGCGATGCATGCCTGGGGTTGTGCTGTGGCACTGAACAACCTCCCGGGGATAAATGAGAGGAACATGTATGAAGCCCGGAGCTCGGAGAGGCTGCGGAATCCGAACCAAAGGGCCTAATCAAGTAGAAGAAGGTGCTGATGCTCTCCGCAGGTTACTCCTGTATTATTCGCACGGGCTCCGGCCTGCCGTGTAAGCAGCCCTGAAGGATGTTAGTGACTTTATCGTCCACGGAGGGCGTGTAGTTCCACCTGGGCAGCTCCGGGCTATACATGCTCTTGATCAGAGAAGAAACGGAATCATTCCCTCAATCAGTTGTACCCGAGGCAGTGATCAAGGGTAACTGTAGCTGGCACTCGGCCCATCTTGGCCTACAGCTAGCTTTACTGCTCAACCCAAATCTCCTGCCACAAAAAGCGGGGCAGGCCTTTCACCTGCAACCTAATGCGTCTCAAAGGCATTCACTTACGTCCCCTAAGGTCTTTTATGCATCTCCCACGACCGCCGTAAACCTCGTCCTTGCGTAAGCAGAATAAGAAGCGAAGCAACCACGGCAAATAACAAGGAACTCAAACAGCCCAACCCACTCGAACCTCTTCACCTTTCAAGCATGAACTTGAGCTTTGAGCCTTGACTTGAAGTGGTGTCCCAGCACCCAGGCTGTTTGCTCCAAGCTGACCTGCGCAAGCCGCTCGAAAGGCCAACCTCTGTTAAAGCTCCTTGCAAAGCTCCGCTGCGGTGGCTGGGCCTTGTCACACACCGACTTGCGGTCGCTCTGTCCATGCCTTGGCATTCTGGGGGTCAGAATGCCAGCAGCTTGAGTAAAGAACTACCTAAACCCGGAAAGGGCAAATACCCTGTAAACTTTCAGCAATCCAGCAACGTGGACCGGCTCTTCAGCTAAAACCAATGTTCGAGGTGTGTAAATCATCCATACTTACCGGAAAGTTACGCTGTTTGAATCCGTGACTGCAAATTGCTGCCTCCTGCAATCCGTGGGCAGCAGCTCGGAAGATGCATGAATGACTGCAGCTTTCCTCTCCAATTTGGACCATCAATCCTCGGCCACCGACCAAAGCTGCGCAGTGCGCTCCAATGCAGTGACGGGGCCCTCAGCAAACTCCTCCAAGCGCCTGGTGGCAGCGATGTGGTGACAGGGATGTGTTGAGGAATGTGGCTTCGAACCGACACTGCTAGATTCAACTGGAAGCGCCTCTGCGTGGCTTGTTCTCGCAGCTCTACCCGGCGGACCATGCAGGAACAGTCTTCCTCCCTGGCATTTACGGATGGATTGCTTCACAGCTCTGGGTTTTGCGAAGTACGCAAATGCAGGGCTGAAACATCGACGACGATCCCATGCGTCAGAATCCGAAGCTTGCATCAAACATTGTTGCTCGTGTAGGCTAGCCTTTGTTTGCCACTAGCGGCCAGCTTCCGAGGTCCATGCGCAAACTGCGAAATCAGCAAAATTCACAACCAGCAAGAAACATGAGGAAAGGGCATCACCGTGGTGTGGACGCCGGCCGTTTGACCTTCGATTTAATGTGACTGGCATGAGCGAATCAAAATGGTGGTTGGTCACACAACAGAAGCACGACTGCAAGCAAAATACACTCACACTGACATATCCTGCCTGGGTTCATGTCATTTGCAGTACCGAATTGCCGCTATTAACTCCATTGCAACATCCGTGTACATTTGGAGGCGTTCTCCTGAGCCGGCTACACGAGTGCATATCTCTGGGCCCCAAGCGCTCTTTCTGCAATCGTTCATGGGCATCGTTTCTCCGTGCTTCCGTTGCTTCCTCACAGCGTGTCAGTGTACTCTCACTCATCAACCCACCTAATCGGCATCACAGTCAAAAAACAGTAACGGCAAATCACCGTTGTGTCTTGTCCTGGGCTGCTGCCGTTCTTCTCAACTCCATCGGCAAGCGCTGAGAAACAGCCTGCTGCATGCCAGCTCACTTGTTCCACGTGTCCGCATCAATGGAGATTCCAAGCGTGATGCAATCAAAAATGCACCAAGTCTTTCGCGCACACACACACACACGCACGGACGGGCAAACAGTCACACACACACACAGTTTCGGAATTGTTAGGTTTCGTCGGCGAGTGCTGGTAATGGCGAAGCCAACCGAGATATCCATGTAGTAGGCAATTTCGCAGGCCCGCAGCCAGTGGACGAGCACGTGCGATGGAATAGTTGCAACGGTGACCATCGTCTTCCAACTTTCGGTTGCCAACATTGGTTGAATGAGTCTCAGTGAATTGCAACGATCAATGTAGACAAGGTAGCATGCAAAGAAAGGAACAGTGTGAGCTTGTCATTGTTAAAAACCAAAAGCTGAAGGACCAGAATATAGAATCTCGTTTCAGCCAAGACCTTCCGCATCCCTTCCGCGTGCGAGAGCACTTGCTAAGCTTCTGCAGAAGCGTTCCGCAGCGAGTTTTCGATACGTCCCATGTTGCAGTCTTGGCAGAGCCGCTTCGGGAACATGCCGGCTGAACGAAGCCAAAAGGAACATAGAAGCACAAATGAACCCACACTCCCACGCCGCCCACGTCCACACCCACCCACACACAGATACAATATGTGCATAAACATATGTATATATATATATATGTGTGTATGCATGTGTATACCTATGTATACAGACAGGGCTGAACGAGTGCACGACAGTCTAAACATCTGGCCAGCTAGCCTCCTTGGTTTCAGAAGATTGCGCTCGCAGAGCTTCCAGCTGCGCTTGGCACTGCTCCTGTCAACATGCACAGTGAACATTGTCCAAGGAGCCCAACGCCGTTGCAATGCCAGAATATGCAATGCAGGAATGCTGCTCAGCATATAAACGCAGTTCTACATACTGCTGGATACAGTAGTACTGGTAGCTTCAGCACGAAATTTGATCGAACCATTATTGGCTAATCGAGGACCGGCCCACATGCCTGCACGTTCTGCAAGTATTCGGCCGCGTTGCGTTTCATCTGATCTTCCTGGCCGGCAAACTACTTTTCAATGGGATCTGCCAAAGACAGTACCAACACACGGCCTTCGCGACCAATACATCCACACAGTCCGAATCAAATCTGTGATCTCAAGCTCCAAACCTCTACACTCTAAGCTGGCTAAGCCCCCAGATCAACACGACAGTCAATGATTGTGCACAAGTGGTAATGCTTTGGCCGCCAGACCGGAATATGAGACTTAGACCAATTCTAACCTGTCATCAGTCACATAACAGAATGTTGCCATCAACACATATAACAACTAAAACTAGAACTGGAGACTAGACTCCAGACTAAGACTAGATGGCCGGATAAATCTGCCGTGCCTGTGAGTCTGTTGAAATCCCTGAATTGCATGGAATTTGCTGTCCCGAAGTTGCGAATGCTCTTGTGCAGTGATCGGGAAAATTGTATACTTGAAAATGATCTGCCAGCAGGAAAGGGCGGGTGCAAACGAGTCTATTGTTGAATTGCATGACTAACCCGACAGCTTCGAGAAAATATCATATTCATAATTTCTTGTCTTCGTGCACCTGCTGTGAAGGGATAAACTCGTCCACATCACACTCACCGTTTCGAAAGCGGCAGAAAATGAGAGCCGTCTGCGGTGGTGCCTGAGCAACCAATGCTTCCTCGGCCTCAGCGAGGGCAGCAGCTCGGGCCGCAAGCCGTGCTTGGGAGGCTACCTGGCAAAGGGAGCTGCGTTCTGCCCAAAGTTGTCGCAGTCATGTCTCACATCTACGAGCCGTAACATTGTCCGATTGGCCGCCTCTCAAAAACCGAAAATGTTGAACTGATCCGGCCCCTTATGATGTGAGCCTTCGACTGCTCGTACATTTCTTCAGCCGCACTGGTCCGTTCCCCTCAAGGATTGCATTCAGGTTGTGCGCCGAAGGACAAGTATGACTAGCGGCCGTAGTGCTGCTGTCATGATCATGGAGCTCACACAACCGCTCAACGGCGCAACTGAGGCTTCGACTGGCTGCCTTCAGCAGTTGAGAGGAGGAAACCACATGTGCCTGCTGCGAGCTGCTGCAAATACAGTGTGCCGGCACATGCCGTCCACGATGCACAACATCTTCTTGGAAACATAGCATGCATGATAGCTGCAGCATTCAGGCCGGTGTCGGCGTTTCGACTCGCGGACTCTATGCGCAACGAGCCGAAAAAGAAACAAGCAACACGACTTGAACAACGCTTGCCATGGCCTCCTCTGCACGCTTAAGCCCCAGGGCTTCTTCTAATCGCCTGGGCATATATTGAGAAGTCCCCGCTCGCGTACAAATGCATGCAGCTGAACTCGGCCCTCGGCTTTCCTGCTTCCCTTTGTGCCTCTTCCAACATGATGTCGGCCTGCCGTACCTTCGGACAAAAGTCCAAGTGCGGTTCATAGCAAACACCCTTACCTAGCCGCAAATTCAAAGCTCGGATGTTTTCCATCCACATAGCTGAGATCCGCTCTTGCACCTCCAAAGCCTCTCGTGCACATTCGCACAAAGGTGCTTGAAGGACGTAACTCGCTGCAGCGCTCGCCTGCATGTCGCCGTCTCGACGGCATCGCATCTCCTCCACCGACCGCTCTGCATCCGCGATCTGCCCGGCTGCAATGTGGTACGAAATGCCGTCATGCCCAGGAATCTAAACCACAGCAAAAGCAAGCGTCAAAGTGCATGGACTGAATCAACATGCTTGCCGAATGCCGTACCAATGCAATGGGCAATCCGGCCTGCCACTGAACATCTTGGGCAGCCTCGTGGCGGCAGTGACAATTTCATTCCCGTCCTGCCCCCCCCCCACCAAACAACAGTGCTTGAAACTGCCGTCGAGCCGATCTGAGATCCCAGCATGGTCAGCCTCGTGCCTGGCCTTGTTGGTACGCTCGCGCTGGAGCTGGAGTTTACGCCTTCTGGCTATCGGACCCAGTCGAGCCAGGAAACGAGAAGTGACCAGCAGCGCACCGGAGTCATTGACAGCGACAGGATGTGTAGTTCACACTGCAACATCAAATACATCCTGCCTTTCGAGTTCCAGTGCGTCCTTCGTGAATCCAACAAAGCATGCAAAGGTGTGAATGATTTTGCTTGATCATGCATTGTTTATGCTCAGGTGTGCCACAGCATCTTTCGCATTTCCACATTCCATGCTTGGCACCGACAGATGCTCCTGCTGGCGACTTCTAGTGAACTTGTACTTGCCATGCTCGTCCTGGAGCACTTCGCGCTTGCTTGGCCTACCTCGTTTGCTTGCATTCGGGCCTCTATGCGCTGATACTTCTCCAGCTTGCCGTCAGGGGACTGGTGCTCCTCACGGGATCCACACTTCTGGAGTCTCGAGAACCGCTTAGCAAGTCACCAAGACATCAAGCCGGGTGTTGCTTTGCAGCGCAGTGACCTCAGAGCATCGAGCGAACAGCACGAGGCGCGAGAAGCTTCCTTGATCTTCTTTGCGTTCGAGCGGCCGGAAATGGCTGCTTCAGTCCAGGCAGTGGTGCCTTGCCATCACTGGGCAGATCCTTGTAAATCTCCTTTCACGCATGCCGAAGGTCTGCTTTGCCACCCGTCATGCTGAGTCGCACCGCAGGGAACACTGGAGAGTGTCATTAAGCTGACACGTTTCGGACCCACAAGTTGCGAACTCCTTGCAGGAGTCGCACCGAACAAAGTCTGGAAAGGCCTCAGCCAGGAATTGACACACAGCTTCGGCGATACATCGGTTGCCGGAAATTCCCCAAAGAGAATTTCACGTTGACAACGATTCTTGTTCGAGGCCAGAGCCAAGTGCATGGGGCACTTTTCTTCTTTGGGAACATCCTCGCGGATGTCACCTGCGACGTCTGTCGCTCAGAAGAGCTTACGAAGAGAACGGTGGTTCGGTGCCTTGCGGGTCGGCATGTACCAGACCCGGGTCCATGGCAATGACATGCAATCACACAGAAACCGGCAGGAGAAGGATCAGTGTATCATTCCCTGCACCTGCTCGAGGTCGGCAAAGTGCTCTGAACTCAAGCGCGAGAGACGATGACTGTTTGGATTGTTCACTTACGAGCTGGAAGGTCCACTGAACATCTACAAACCTTACTTGCAGCTTGTCGGCTTGCCCTTGAGGCTTGAGCCTGCTCATTCCGTTCAACAGGATTTGGAGCCAACTCCGGAGGAGCAGAGCCGAGGCAAATACTGCAAGGTCAGGCAAACCCTTTGTGCCATCGCACACACGCCAACTCGCGTGCCGCAACTTGGAACACGGGCAAGCTTACGCCCGCTTCCTTGGATTCGAAACCAACGTGCGAGACAAGAAGCTGCCGTCTGGGCATGCCACTGCATGTTTCGATGGTCGCACTCGCAAAAGCCAGGCAAAGCAACGGGTGCATGTTTGGCACACTGCTAGCCCTGATGCAAATCGTCATGCTACAAATCCAAGGTTCAACCTCCCGAAACTCCAATCACAGAAAACAATCTTAGGGCCCCCTCGCTGCATCTTCGCTTCAAGGCGACATCGCGGAATTGCGAGAAGCGCTCCCGCACTGAGCTGACCAGTGAGCCAGAGGCAGCCTGCGGGGCCCAGGAACGCCTGGAGTCCCCCGTGAATGTATGTGTGCGTGCATGTGCTACGCAGTGGATGTATATGTGCACCTTGCGTCGTATGCCATATGTATGTATATATATATATATGTATGTATTGTATATATATATATATGCATCTTTCTTCTACCTACCTGTCTCAGACTTTGAGTTCTCAGGATCCTCATGATCATTCCAGGTGTAGCTGTGACCATTCTGATTTCCGCGCTTGACATCATCAGCCCTAACTTGAGGAAAATATGTTGCAGATTCCCATCCCCACAACGTGCAGGTTCAGAAGCGGTGTACTCCTCCATATCCTCCCCCTGCTTGGGACATGCACGGTGAGTTCAGTCTTCGCATCAACTCCTGTAGATGCCAGATGGTCTCTCGTTTCAGGTCAGTTCAATGTACGGCCTGCCTACACCCAGCACTGACCGCCTACCACCTCCATCAGGCCTGTGTCGATGTTGCCGCCGGCGTTGTAGGCGCAGGGTCAAAGAATTGCGGCGAGACCTGGTGCAGCGAGGCAGCGAGTCAGGCAAGTGTTTGGAAAACCAGTAAGACCCTGCCAAATCGCCACCCGGCAGCTTCTGTGACACGAGATGCGAAGAGTGAACAATGCTTGGATGTGATCATGCGAAGGCAGCATCAAGACATCAGCAACGTAAACTGTGCTACGGCAGCCGCAGCCAGCCCCCTGCAGAGAACACTGCAAAATCGGCCTACCGCTGCGCTTCGGGGTGGTACCAAGCTAGGTACAGGGAATGAGACTGTATCGAGAATGACGGTGTTAGAGAGCTCTACGCTGTGAGGGGACTGCACGAGAAACACGAGCCCGGTGCAAAATCAGAGGTTCAGCCCACGCAATATCAATCCACCCATCTACCTCGCTATCGATCTACCCCCAGCCATCTAACTGTCTGTTGATGAACTGATACAATTACGTGAAATCTTCGCTTCAATAAGAACCCTGAAGCCGAATAGTCTGCCACATCATTCGAAACCCGGGGCCTGCAAAATGCGGCAGATGCAGTACATTGCAGTACACTGTCCAATAAGTACGTAGCTCAACACCCAAGACTGTCAAATTTCTGTTGCATGTCTTGAGCATGTCGATGCAGAATACCTTGCACGACACAGAATTATGACTTGGCGAAACTTCTTGGCTGCAAGAATGATTGGTGCTGTGCTGTGCCAGGTTATGTAAAGAAGTGTCAAATTTCTGAACGGTTTTCTATCTCCAAGCAGCTCCCTTCCGCTCGAGGCTGCGCACCTGCGAAACATCAAGCCAGGCATGCTTTCCACTTCTTGCGGCTCCAGTGGAGCAAAGGGTTGGGTCTGCAGGCATCCTGAGCCGTTCTCTCTGACATTTGCATCATTTGATTGATAACTGCAGATGCATCATGGCCCCTGTGGTCTGGGGGAAGGGGCCGGACAGCCGGACAACGATCCAAATCGGAGGAACGAATTACGAATTCGTTTTGCATCAGTTCGTGCATCCTTCTTCATCAGACCATGCTCTGCTGCTTTGGCAAAAAGCCACATGAAGCAATGATGAACGACACGATGACGAGCTGGGGGGCCGAAATGACGGAATTATGATTCAGAGTGACCCAATCTCTGACAACAGAGTGTAGAGTGAAGAGTACCTGACAGACTCAATGTTGCCTAGCCAGTCTGGATGCATGATTTCAATCAAAGCCCCGAAGGAAGGCTGACACATGACGGGGCCTTGTCCCCCAGCTGCTCCCTTTCTGCGGCGTAGGACTCCTGACTCTTCGAAAGACCCTCTGCCAACGAAGCCACACCCACAGTGGGATCTCTTTGAATGCTCCTGACGATCCACGAGCTTCTTTTGCAACAGCAGCAGGCGCATCACCTTGAGTCAAAACTGGCAGGCTGGTGACCTCTGAGGCTTGATACATGATGATTGCTCATGATAGCCCCTCGGAACCCAAAGCTCCAGCACAATGCCTTGAGACCAAGTGGACACTTTGCCCTCTCAAGCACGGCCCATGCCCCTTCTCAGGATGCTTACCGCATCGGCATCGCTGTCGTCGTGCGTGAACTCCGTCGGCGTCTCATCGCTCAGAAGCATCTCGCCCAATGCCGCATTCATGTCCTTGACCGACGTAGGCAGCTTCACACATGCGCGGTTCCCATGTCACTAAGCTGATCAATGTCCTTGCAACCTCCATACTTACAATCCCACCTTTCCACCCCAAACCAAGAGTCTCGGAGCCGGTGGCTTTCATCAGCCACGCAGCGGCAAGCAACCTGTTTTCGGTCATGAGGCGCATCGTGATCTTGAGCGCGGGCTTTCACATCGACACAGACGACTCACTGACAGAATCGCATTTATGTGGAGGAGCTGTGCATCTTTTTGCATTCACAGACTCTCGGACAGCTTTAGCATGGCATTCGGCCCCGGATGGCCCCGATGCCCCGGCCTGCAATTGAGTGTGGCGGCCCTTGATCGACGCCTGGCGGGCTTCGCGGGCGTTCAGGCCATCCAGCTTATCCTGCATGTCGGCGCAGTCCTGCCGTCGGGGCGTCCACTGCTGCGACCCTGCACACAGCATCCAACCCAACACATCCAAACTCCAGCTGACATGAAATCTCACACCTGCACCTATTCGGCAGGGGTGGGGGCGAGTGGACGAACAACTGCGACTCGATGCAATCAGTGAAGGATATTCGTATACTTTTCTTCGCATCCTCCGCAGAAGTTACAGTTGTAATATTTTAGCACTCGCACTCGACGAGGCCAGGCGAGGTTTGTGGCGGCAGCAAAACACTAGAAGGCTAATTACGAGCCAATTTCACGACTCATTTCGAGCGTCAGTTCAAACCTCAGCAGAAGGAAATCCCGATTGACCCCCCGCCAGCCACCATCCTATACTGAACGATTTCAGTCGCTTGCGCATGCAATTGTAACCGCCGGACAGACCGGGCAAAATGTAAACAGCATGGAAGCCCCACAAGAATTCCAGAATGGGTGCCGCAGTTTTCACCAGACCTGGACAGTCTCGCCACTTGGTCAGGCTAATCAAACTCGGGAGCAAACGAACGCCAAGCTCCGGATTTTGATCCCTGTAGCACATCACAGAGTGCTGAGCACCTGCAAGGCAACGGAGACTGCGCTGTGGAGAACTATGGGTGCTGGTGGTGGTGCTGCTGCTGTTCTTGTGGTTGTGGAGGTGATGGCATATTACTGGCGGTGGTAGTGGTAGTGGTAGTAGTAGTAGTAGTAGTAGTAGTAGCAGTAGTAGTAGTAGTAGTAGTAGTAGTAGTAGTACGCAGTCGTCGTCGTCGTCGTCGTAGCAGTAGCAGTAGTAGCAGCAGTAGTAGTAGTAGTAGTAGCAGCAGCAGCAGCAGCAGGATTAGCAGCAGTCGTAGGCGGCAGAAGTAGTAGTAGTAGTAGTAGTAGTAGTAGTAGGAGTAGGAGTAGTAGTAGTAGTAGTAGTAGTAGTAGTAGTGGTAGTAGTAGTATAGTAGTTAGTAGTAGAAGGAAGAGGAGGAGGAAAGCGGAGCAGGACGAGACCGGAAGGCTGCGGGTGGAAAAGGGGTTCGGAAACGCTTGTGCCTGCCAAAGGTCAACGAGACTCTGCAACGTGCTACCTTCAACATCGATTGGGATGGGCTGCCACAGGAAGCACTATCCAGCACCGGAACATCAGCACCAACTTGCTGACGTGACACCCATGTGCCTGCCAAACGCCATAAACGCACAAACGAAAAAAAGCAGACAGTGTCAAGAAAAGACAGAAGGCAAGCGGAACAACAAAACCCAAGCGTACAACAACAACAACAACAACAACAACAACAACAACAACACCAACAACACCAACAACACCAACAACACCAACAACACGAACAACACCAACAACAACAACAACAACAACAACAACAACAACAACAACAACGACAACAACAACAAACAACAAACAACAAACAACAACAACAACAACAACACAACGACAACAACAACAACAACAACAACAACAACAACAACAACAGCAGCACCAGCAGCACCAGCAGCAGCAGCAGCAGCAGCAGCAGCAGCAGCAGCAACAACAACAACAACAACAACAACAATAACAAC